TTCTTTTTTAGTTCTGAAGATTTCACACGTATTATATTCGGGTGAGGATATATCAGGTCAATTAAAAGAGAAGAAAAGTTATCGACACTGGAATCAATAGAGGATTGGTCAAGCTTAACAACTTTACATGAATTAAGAAGCTCACTTTGAGAAGTGTTCAGAGCCTGCTTGATAATGTCAATATCACAGTCCGACCATTTTCGGATACACCTCACTGAGTTTTCGTTAGGAGTGTCAACTGGTGTTGAATAAATATGGGCACTAGTTCTACTGGTAATTAACTCAAAACTCAGTGGAGCGTGATCCGAAAACTCGTTAAAACAACCAGTCACAAGAGATTTTATTATATCAAAATATTCATTACAAATTAACATATAGTCAATAAGAGTAGAACCCCTTGAATTACTAAATGTAAAGTTGCCTTGAATATCATCTTTAAATCTACCATTTACAATTCTAAGACCTGTATCTTTACATAATGTTAACATTATTAATTAATGACAGATATTAACGACACTACTTGTCATATTATTATCAATACACAAAGATAGTTTGATGACACTTTTCAATCTGTCTGTAATTCCATTTAGATGGTTACCCTCAAAATTTATTTGTACTGTATAGTGAGATATTTTTTCGCATTTCATTTTACGGTCTATTTCAGAGTAATGAAGTCAAATCCGTCGTACGATGATAACGGATCGTCATTTACAAATCGCTTTTCAATCATGTTTGTCTTTTATGATACAATTTGCTTGACCACATCTTTTTAACACTGTACTTTTTTACTCGCAGAAATTAGAACCACAATACTCTTTTGACGAAAATGTATCTCTAATCAATTGGACTGCACACGATGTTAGAGGGTATTTAAATTCCTGTCATGAGAAACAAATTCTAAATTGAATCATAAATTAAAATGAATTACAAAACAAATTATTCCGTAGTCAATTGTTTTATTTAATTAAGGAACTTAGGGGGATTAAGGAACCAGTCAGGCGTTAATGAGTACACACGCCGGTTGTATATAGGTAATTAAGGAATAAACATTCCGAATATGCATTCGGTCACTGTGACGTCACTGGCGTCTGAGGGGATTAAGAGTGTTTTCGATAATTGGCAAAGTCGTTTTTAAGGGAGGTCTATTTTTACGACTTTGAGTGAAGATAACTGAATTAATTTCAATCAGATTGGTGTGAACTTGCCGTAAAGTTGATATAGTAACCATTGGCTACACATATCCAAAAGTTTCCAAGCCCATCTTATGTGCACTTTAATGTCTTATTTTTTTTTTTATATATTACAGGATATGGTGTTATTGAACGTATTTAGTAAAACATGTATTACCATAGGTACAGATGTAAACACAACTTTATACCTTACGCCGTGCCAAAATACACATCTACAAAAATGGTTGTTAAAACCCAGAGCAAAATAAAACAAATTTTTTAAAAAAAACGTATTGCATATAATACTCACTCGGTTCCTGTCTGGGCATGATTCTCGCCCCTTGTTTTCTAGTATGAATGATTTGAAACAATTTGTATTGTTTTGGATGGAAAATAAATAAATAAATACAAATTTTGTCTAAAATACCATATATAGACATAGATTTCACAAAATTACAACACCTATATGATATAAAACAATACGTAGAAGACGGAGAATGTTAAATATCATTATTTGATTTATAACGATATCTGTATGTATATTGAAACGTAATATGTTAATAAATGTAGAAGTAGTATATCCACAATATTGTGGAAGTTGAATTTCTAAAAGGGATATCAGTCCAAATACTGCATCATCATAACACCCGAGAAGATATTTTACAGTTCATGTGATCATAACACCCAGGAAGATATTCTACAGTTCATATGATCATAACACCCAGGAAGATATTCTACAGTATATGTGATCATAACACCCAGGAAGATATTCTACAGTTCATGTGATCATAACACCCGGGAAGATATTCTATAGTTCATGTGACAATAACACACAGGAAGATATTCTACAGTTCATGTGATCATAACACCCAGGAAGATATTCTACAGTTGATGTGATCATAACACCCAGGAAGATATTCTACAGTTCATAAATTGATTTATTCTTAATTAATGTTTAAATAATCAATTTAGATGTTGTCATGACAATTACTGTCTGTTCCAGGCGAAACTACGACTCGACAATTACTTACCATTTCTTCAATTTTTGATTAAAATGGTTAAAACTTAACGACCCAACTGGAATTGTCACCCCATTACTTTCTTCGTCGCGCCTTAACGCCTATAAGTTCAATAAAATCCTTTATTCTCTTGTAAATTTCACATTTTTCGACACTTATCAATTTCCCAGAACATAAACATTACCACTGCGCCTGCGTAAGTTGGGTCACTCGTATATCATGTAGAGGTATAAAGGTATTCCACAAATCGGGTGTATTCGGTTAATAATATTTGTGCGGGAGGATTCGCCCGTTTGTTTTGCGGCAGCACGAGTGTGTGTGTGTGTGTTTAGGTTTATTTGGTTACCAGTATTTTATATTCCTTAGAGATATTCATAGTATTGCATGTCTCCTGAAATATTCCTCACAGAACACTTGTTTTCAGCATTAGATGGCATGGTAACCTTTCAGATAAAGTGTAAATTTGTACGATATCTTATAATTTTATGGACTTAAATAGTTTTGTTTAACGGTATCTATTTTTATTTATATTCGTGTTGCACGGGCACACAAGAATTGTTTCGGATATTGTCGTAGAATAGATAGAAAAAGCGAATCGTAGAAAGTATAATCCCTTGAATAATGGATCATCCTTTCGTTACATGCATTTGCAAGTGCACGATGATGTGTGTGTATAAGAAGGTGGATACAGGGGCGGATCATAATTTTTTTTTGTAAATCAACACTTTTTATGAGAAAGGTTTCTCGGCCGTGTGCTTTAGCCTTTATCGTCAGATATGGGGCAGGCAGGATGGGCACTCAAAGCACGAGATAATGATATAGACTTTACGTGATATCACAATTAATGCCTTGCATCCATGAAATTGAATCACAATGTCATTGTATTAATTCATAATAAAAATTGACGTCAAACGAGGTGTTGAATTTCTCTGTTAAAAAGCTCAATGTGTATGTATATACGCCAAAATGACGATAGAGACCATGGGGATACATTGTCTCAGGAACCTGGCAAACCCCCTCCTGCAAAAATTCCTGGATCCGCCCCTGTGGATACTGGGTAAGAGATTATTGTTATTTACAATTTCAATAACGCGAGATGTGAGCCAATGTATCAATCGTTATTTACTTATTTTGAGAAACTGAGTAAACTGAATTATAGACGGTTTAACAGTTCCAAAAAATGAGATTGCCTACGCATTGAATATACCTTAAAATCTGTGTACGGGGCTTTAAAAAATAGCTTTGACTGATGACAATAAGAGAGACCATCTATAAACTACACGACAATGGCCAGTATGTAAGTACAGTTAATTTAAATATGTTTCATCTTTGCTATTCGACTTTTACACATATGCCATGTTCTGCATTACATAACCTTGATGTAATAATTGTCTATATAACATTGAAATTTGTTTGCAGCTTTCATAACATGAGATATTGTACTTGCAAACAGAATTATTAAGAATGGTGACTTTACGTCCTCCTCCTCAGCAATATAAAACCGACGACATAGCCCATCAGCATGGACATTTAGTCTTGGGGTTACCAACTTAACACTGAAATTTGGACGGCAGTCAAGCTGACGGCATTGAAAGATAATAAACCTTTCCTTATCTGTGATGTTAAAAAGGGTTAAAACATTCATTTGTGGAAGCTTTTACTACACCTTATAACATTTTAAAGTGTCTCCACATTAAATCTATAATATATTAATTTTAGCACAAGAAAAGACCCATGTCGCCCGAAGAAACGCGAGTTTTAAAATTAAAGACGTTAAGCGTCTGTTCCTGGAGGACAAGGCTAATGTGACAACTGGAGACTGTGCTAAGGCCTGCCAACACGTCATAGACAAGGTTGGGTCGGTTTTTGGAAGCGGGAAGATTGAATGAGGAAGTACCACCAGTCGTGATTTCGTTCGGGAGTGAGAGCGAGCTCGAGTGTGACAGTGAGGATTTGGGCGACAATGTCAGTGGAGAGAGTGATAGTGAAAATGTAGTTGAGAATATGGATGGCGCTGCTGTTGCAAATGAAGATTCGAGTGATGATGATATAAACGTTCCGTTTTCTGTCATATTATCACTTTCTTAAAGGCATTTTATAAAATAAAAAAAAACTAAATCAAACAAGAAATAGAGTAGGCTATCTATAAAAATATCTTAGGAGCGCCTTCGTTTCAATTGGATTAAAACTTTAAAAAAAAAAAAACCAAAAAAAAACCAAGAATACTCTATCAATATATTGCCAATTATGATGGTCCACGAACGTAGATATCTTTCTAAAAAGTGCCACAAGGCCACAACTTGGCGGTCTGAAAATAGTATTAAAAGACGTACAAACCCAAATAAAATCAACAGTTATGTATCTATTATCATAAAGCCAGATAAACAGTTCGTTTGAATTGTCATTTAGCCTTCTTCCAAATTTCCCTGACGTGTCACTACAATATTAGGTCACACTTTGTATGTAGTTTATATCAATTTCTAAAAGCCACCGGACTGGGGCCGCCAATTTAAATTACCTTCCGTAAATAGCTCATTAAAGCAAGTTATATTTTACTGACCGAAACAACTATTTAAACATGCAAGTAGGACGAAACGAACCCAAGAAAATTTCCAGACCCCTGTTCGATTGGGTTTATTCCAAAGAACTAGGTCAAGCATGGCTGTCTTCAATACCGCGAAGTAAATAAACCACGATTTTTCAAGAGAGAAAGGTTATATAGCTTGATCTGAAATTAGTTAACGTGCGGTAGAAAGTAAAGGGGTGACAATTTCAGGTAGGTCGTTAAGTTTTAACCATTTTAATTAAAAATTGAGGAAATAGCAAGCAATTTTCGACAAGTGGTTTTACGGTTTATACATGACAAACTACAACTGAAAGTTATTTTAATAACTATGCTGTTATGTGATAAAACTCCAATTATTAAAGTATTATTTTTCCTGAAGAATGACATTAATGTTGGAATCTTTCTTAGCGATGATTCATCATAGTATTGTGAACATTTCCTGGGGGGGAAGTACCTCCATATGTTTTCAGTTCTAAAATACTGGTGCTGTTTATGTCTGATTTACGAACAATCGATCCGCACGGAGAATCAGGAAATATCAAAGACAATTATGTAATGTCTTGTCGTCCTGAAAATGAATGAATATCATATTTAAATACTGTTTAGGTTCGAGTAGATTTGTAGAGATTATAATGAATAATGAATGAACCTGATACAGAGTTCTTTTTTAATATAACTGTGATTGTTTATTGAATCGGGTATAAAGATTCACGGGCGTATACATTTATTTATCCATGTTTAGCGTTCTCGTAATTACGATTTAAAAACAAGCCAGGTTCAAAAAACGACTCGGTGCGTGGACCGACCATTTGGAAAATTAAAATTTAACTCTGTTTTAAGAAAATTGTTTTGCATCCGTCGGCTCGGCTGGTCGTTTCTGCATATAAATATACAATATGCTTTTAATATATTAGTTTGGTTGATTGATTTGGACCAAGTTAAAACGTTTTATAATATTATATTATATAAAACCTGAAAAGGCACAATCAACATATACACATAAAAATTATATTTCTATAAATATCAGGCTTCAAAGGTGGAAGGTTCGGAGTTCTTTCTTATATCTCTTTACCTGGGTGGTAAAATACCTGGAATACCTGGGTGGTAAAATACCTGGAATACTTACTAAAACATGACGTCTCAGATCCTGCGTAGTTAGTTTGTTACAATCATTAAGTGGCTGATCTATGGATGATTTGTGTTCATGTAATCGATTAAAACTTGATTTAATCGCCTTTAAAACATCCTTATTTCTGATTAAATATCTGATGGGCTCCCTCCTACACTGTTTACCTGTACACACAATATCAACAAACAAAGAGTATTAACACACCAATACAATTATTCCAATCTACACAATAAACAAAAAAAAAATGAACTGGATATAGGGTTTCGGAAAAGAACACCCTTCTTCAGTAATAATAAAAGATGGTTAAATCAATAGGACTCCTCTGTGGGCAAGTTCAATACACTGTTATTGCTTGTTAACTCCATTATGCTGGCTTGGTATGTACGGCGCTAAATCAATAACTAAGGAGCCACGGATTCGATCCCGGTGTTGACAACAAAGTTATCCGGTATGGTCCAGTCCGGTTTCCCCTTGTCAGCGTTGCAGGTTGGAGAGCCCGACAAGGAATAGAGGTGCATTGAACGCAAAAGATCCCCTGCCAGTTGGACCATTTCCCTTAGCACACTGTTTGGCGTAAATCAGTCTTAATTACCCGGTTGGTGCAGAAACGAAGGGCGTTAAACTTATTTTCACTTCATAATTCATTGAAAATTAGAGGGAAATGTTTGTCTTCATTACCAACCTGTGTGTTTTTGTTTCTCTTGTAAACTTTCCTCTGCAACACATGTTAGTTTGATCAGACCTTTCTTTGGAACCGTTGTCATTGGTAACAAGACTTCCTTCGTGTTTGAGTCAGTCGTATCCAGTAAGGGTTTATTTACTAAAAACACTTGAGACTTCTGGAAGAACAATCCAAACATAATTTTAGACCAAAACATCCCAACACAGTCTAGACCATTACCCTATTCAACTATAAATAACCACATACCTTTGAACCCCCGTTTTACTGGCAAAGCATAATAATAATATACTATTCAAAAAAAGTAGGGGATATTTGATTTTTAAGTGTTATTAAAGTCACCTAATGAAACTGACGAAGAAAGAAATGACAAAATGAAATGAAGTTCACATTCATCGATTTATTCCAAATGATCGTTAGACTAAGTAAGGCACAGACTGAACATTATAAGGGTAAAATGATACCCGGGGGTCAAACAGCAAAGTTACCACAGCATCACAACCAAGTCAGTAACGGGTAAATTCTCCTCTGTTTGCCAAACAAGCATTGATCCGACGTGGCATACTCCTAATGAGACGTCTAAGGTCATTTTGGTCCAGATTATCCCATTCCTGTTGCAACGCAGCAGCAAGTTCTTGGACATTGGCAGGACGTTGTTGACGTTGACGTAACCTCTGTCCAAGCATGTCCCAGACATGCTCGATGGGGGAGAGGTCGGAACTCAGTGCTGGCCAAGGTAATGTGGTGATGTTCTGTTGTTGGAGGTAACCTGTAACGATCCTGGCCCTGTGACATCTTGCGTTGTCATCCTGGAAGATGAAACGGCGGCCATGACGTCGTGCGAACGGCACAACATGGACTGCCAAGATGTTGTCCCGGTAGTACTGGTCTGTAACACGCCCTGCAACAACATGTAAAGCCGTTCTTCCAGCAACAGTGATGCCTCCCCACACCATAACAGAACCACCCCCAAATCGATCATGTCTGATGACGTTAACGTCTTGGAAGCGCTCGTTTCGACGACGCCACACCCTCCTACGTCTGTCCAAAAAATCAACAGTGAACCTTGACTCATCTGAAAACATCACATTTCTCCAGCGTCGATTATCCCAGTGTTGACGATCCCTACACCAACGACGTCTTGCCTGAATGTGATGATCTCTCAAACAAGGGATCACGCGAGGACGTCGGGCGCGAAGGTGACCCCTATGCAGTCGATTCCGAATCGTCTGGCCACTCACTCTCACACCAGTGTCTGTTTGAAGACGAGCGCTGATCTGATTTGCTGTGATGACACGATTTCTCAAGGCCAAGGTACGGATAAATCGATCCTGGGCTTGAGTTGTCCCCCTTGGTCGACCTGAGCGTGGTCTGTCCTGTACAGAATGTGTATCACGGTATCTGGACCATAGCCTGCTTATGACAGACTGAGAAACATTCATCGTCCGCGCCACAACCGCCTGTGTTGTGCCGATCTGTAGCATGCCAAGGGCACGTAACCTTTCATTTTGGGTAAGCCGACGCATATCAAAATTTGTTTTCTGGTCACTAAAACAATTAAACTGATGTTTCCACCCTGGAATTCAATGCCACAATGACTGTAACATTCAAAGTCAGAGTCGTGCAAATCTTGGGTTGGACCCCCATGATGATCCCAAGCATCACCTGCATTCCATGCGGTAGCTATTGGTGCGTTTGGGCGTCACATGTAACTGGAAATGTTTCTTCTGTTAGGTTCTATAGTGACTTTTTTCGTAGTCATTTGCATATTTTAGTATTATGCCCCCAAAATCAAATATCCCCTACTTTTTTTGAATAGTATACAATACATTTTATTTTTATTAGACTTGGGTCTAGTTAAAATACCGCAGTTTAGTGATCATTTTGCAATCAAAGGATATTTTGTAGGGGCAGCGGCACAATGGCCTACTCTTATATCGAATAACTGCCAAGGGATCTTTTAGGTGCACGCCAATGTATACACGGGACCTCTTTTTTTCGTCCCATCCAAACGACCAAAGCGCAATTAATGTATTCTTGTGTACGGGATTGCCAATCGTCTTGAATTACAGGTGACTATTCGAAAATTATTAAACTGCCATTCACCGTCACCTGTCACCTCACTTACTGAACTCTCACTTTTGTCACATCTAGCCCGGTGTTACTGGAAGTTCTTTTGACTGACATTTCGGAACATAAAATAAGCGAAACGAGTTATTATCATTATTGAAATCACACTTACAAAAACTGTTGTTCATGTTTTTATTATGTTTTTATCTAGTGAACAATATAAAATGTCTGCCCCCAACTATACGTGGTATTGTAACAATATTTACCTCCCGTCCAATCATAAGATGGGTTAAATCAGATTGACCGCGTGGCGATCGACCAATTGATGACGGATGCGTCTAAAAAAAAAATATTTATAAATTTATTTGACAGTATTTGAAATGGGACCAATTATCCCATTCATAATGTTCATAAGTATCGTGTGTATCAAATTTTGTCCAATTTTCCCCACAGAATATTTCTTTTATGAATAAAAAAGGTAATAATACAATATGATTGATAGGATATTCCTACTAAATAATACTGTATATTTTGTTTATTATGGTAGATGTTATCACATTCACTTCGGGGCTAACATGTTTTTCAAGTTTGTTTCAATAATTCGCTTGTGCCTAGGGGTCTTTTTCAGTGGGAGGAAACCGGGGCATAAGGAGAAAACCCACGAGGTTGGACAGGCGACCCTACTTCTTGTCACGAACAAACTGGGAATGGAAACCACGCCATTTGACTCAATGACAGACCTTATGATTACACGCACACGCATAAAACATTAGGTTCCCCCCCCTCGCCCCGACCCCTGGATAAAACGTAATATAAACATGATTGTGATGTTCATGATAGACAATGATAGACATAGACAATGATATTAGTGATTATAAAATATAAACGTAACTTTAAACCATTCCTGTAAATCTTTAACTGAGCAAGCGTCACAATGTCTAGCGCCAGATGACAAGGTTGTGCGACTTCTACCCAGTGAGGGCGTTTTAGTGGCTGATATGGTCTGAGGTCGGTACGTTCGGTTTTGGTCCACAGAGACACCGATCAAACCTCCCCTAAGTGTAGACTGTTTTCCCTGACAGTCATTCCGTGTTGACTTTAATAAAAGGTGTGGTCTTGATGCCGTGCTGTTGTCCGGCAACCACGTGGCTGATCTTCCGTGCAGATTAGACAAGGCTGCTTCATAAACAGTTTGGTTACACGCTAAAGAACTCCCGGAAGCTGCCATTGTGCCTGGCTTAAGCCGGCAACATTCCAGAGTACAGGGAGTATCGTCATCTGGTGGGCGTCTTATTCCTTCTACGGCTGAGATTCGATTAGTTGTATCATGATCCACTATTGTGTTGCTTCGCCGTACTAATATTTTCATTGAGTTTGTGTACAATGAATCTAATTTTGTCACCGAGAGACATTCTGAACTCAAGTCGCTCTTGGTCGTGATATCAGATATTGATGATGCATCAGCTATTCCTGTAGGAATAGTTTTAATAGACGAAGGTAAAGATGTCTGAACTTCACGATTTTCTGTCAAGTCGTGTTCCATTTTTTTTTAAATTGAACTATAAAGTCTATAAAATTATAATTTTCTAGCAACAGTACTTCATCAAGTATTGATTATTTATATTAGATAAATTCACACACGCATGTGTATTCCAAGATGTTCACAAAGTTTTGCCTGGATTGGACCAGTTAATCTATTACTAGTATACACAATGATAATTCCAATACATGGTGGTTTTAGTTGTTTTATCTATTGTATCCATGACAACTGAAAATATAAATAAATATTTGTTAGTTATCGGGACAGTTGAAATAAGATTGTATCTTGAACAGCTCCAATTACTGCTACACTTTATGATTTTAAATAAAGACTCGTGTCAATAACCATAGATTGTAATTCAATATAGTATACAGTATAGTATAGTATAGTATATTCGCCATGTTACCATATTTAAAGAGAGAGGGAGAGGGGTGAGGGGTGGGGGTAACATTCGACACGAACTAGGTCATTTCGGAACTAACCTATGGTTCAACCGTATTTTAATAATTCGGTTGCGCGTTGGGGTCTTTGACATTGGGAGGAAACCGGAGGACCCAAAGAAAACCCAAGAGGTTGGACAGGCAACCCTACTCCTTGTCACATACAACCGGGAATCGAACCCACGCCAGTTGACTCAATGCCAGACCTTATGATACAGCGCGCACAGACTAACCATTCGGCCATCTAACCAAACATATTTTAAAGAGTTATTCTAAAATAACGTACGGGTGAAGATAGTAAGTTTGATATTACCATTTTGAAAGTCAGTTATAAATTTAAAGGACTGTATATTCACATTCTTGAAAATATCAGAAAAATAATTAAAACTAATCATTATATCTTTGGTAGACACCAAACAAAAAAATAACCGTAAAACAGTACTATGTCACAGCGCATTAACATCTACACAGACACAGAGAATTGGTGATCAGTCATGTCGTCGGGACTAGGATTATTTTTTTAATACACTTGAAAACAGACATAATCGACTCTTCTCAATATAATATACCTGAGACGACTCCTTTAAGATTTATACACTAGATTAAATTACAAATCTTGTCAATCTATTTATTCAGTTGATTTACGTCAATAAACCCTGGGATATAGGTAAAGTAGTAGTCTATTGTCTATCTTCTATTTACGATTAACTCAATATTCAATATTATAAGTCGACATCAAAGTCACCGAGATGTATGGTCGCCCAGTATAATAATTACAAGTATTTTGTTGGTATGCATAAAGGATCGATCGTCTCCAAAGTTACTACATGCTTAATAGTTACCAAAATATTTCAAATATGCACTTTAAATATTCTACTATCACTATTGGCACTGTAATATTGTTGATATAGGCATATCTGTGGCTATCATTAGGGGTCCTAAATATATACTGCCCACCTGACAGATCCCTCGACAGTTGACATATTAATAAAAGAATGCAAAACGCTTATCTTGTAAAAAAAAATCTTTTTATTTTGATATTAATCAGGTGGACAAGAGGTGTCTCGGTGGGGGGTACGGTCATAATTAGTTCCTTTTTTAACTAAACTGTTTTTGAGCGGACGATGTCCACTGACAGTTCCTATCCGGCCTTATATAGCTGCAATATGAAAATACCACTCTTCCCCACCTCTGTTCTAAGGCTATTTTGGAATCCTTACCTACTATTGTTCAACTTGATTCTACTTTATTCGCCACGGGAATCATTTCTTGTCACAGCTGACACACATTTATAATAATTCAACACTATTTTCAAGTAGAATTCTGCGATTAAAAACATACACAAAAGAACTAGGCCATAATCAACCTATAGTATATTACAAAACAGGCTTCTTAAAACTATACGGTCTTATTTATTGTCTCATTTTCTAGCAAATAATAAACCTGACATTACATGTGTACCAGAGATTAGATAGATCTTATCGCGATATTATCGAGATATTTCTATCATATTTCTATTATCGAGTGTGAGCACACATACTCTAGACTTGTTGGTCATTTTACCACCTTCTATCCAATAATAACAATTTCACTGTCGACAGAGAATTACTACAATATCCGAGAAAACTAAACACACTGGCTTATAGACAAATGAAGTTAAATGTTTACATGAATTTAATAGTACATTTAAATGGGGTTAACTTACCGTGTGTAATGTAGCGTCATTTATTAGATATTCCGATTTTAACTTGAGAAAATAGGAAAGTACGGTATCTGAAATATCAACTGGCATTAGGGCAATGACTGGCACACTGTTCAGCACTGTTGTGAATGTTAACTCCGGACCTTCAAACCCTGACAATATTAGATTGTCAGCAGAGTATTCCCTGTTTTAATCGAGAACGCTGATTGGCCACTGGAAGTGAAACAACATACCGGGCCAAACACTGACGCAGTGTGTGTAGATATTGTATTATATTGATATATCGACTGAACTGATAGCCCATTGATTTTATATTAATAACGTCACTTGTCTTCTACTTATATCAATACACCTGTCGTATTATAGATATTTTCTTACAGCTTTACACCTGTATAACCCATATACGAGATATATTAACATGGCCGTTATTCACCTAGAACGCGCCTTTATGATTTTTATAATTTGTATCGTCTGTACAACAATAATTTTTTAAACCTTATTGAAGTTCAGGGTTTATGATGTGACTGAGGGGATTCTAGGATCTCCATTATGAAAATATGTAGTAATTGTACAATGTGTACAGAATATATGGATGTGTGCGTAGGGAATGGGGCGGGAACACAATAGAATACACCCCACATGCACCCTGAACGTTGACAAGTTGAAGATATATATTCAGAGATAGGATTGGAATTAGAAGTGGGAACTTATTTCAGATCAATCTATATACTATAATATTGTAACCAAATATGCTGATTTGACAAAAAAGAGGTACATAAGAGCACTCCTACGTAATAATAGCATCAATAAGTGTTTAGATCATAACGGTAGATGGACATGCCATGACATATAGCAGACGCTTCGTAACTGGCTCAAATCACAAACCTATCAGACGATATCCCTTGCCTTGTCTCATTCAGTCAATATGGAGTCAAGTTCACCAGCGTCCGTATTAAAAGGATATCTTAAGTCTAAGATAAACACTTAACTACTATAGTAGATTTCACTGTACGTTAAGGGTAAGTGGTATTCAAAATCAATGTTAAGTATAAGATTTTCCTTTAAGTTAAGCTGCCTTAGCTTTTAAGAGTTTAGTCTTTTAGCGATATTCAAAGGTCAGTTTAAGTGAGAAAAATCCATTTAACTTTAAGTGGCCTATGAGAGGTACCTTAAAGTTAAGTGAGCTTATAATGACTTCTTTTAACCGGAGTACACAATGTAGTAGCAGGCTCGTAATGACGATTTTAAAAGTTATTAAAAGATTTTAATAGAGTATGTGGTGCTCTTAAGGAGACATAACTTACATGCGACGTGAGTAATTCATGATTTTTGGCAGTGGAGGTTATTCCATAAGTTAAAAATTCATGCTTTTTTGGCTAATGTTAGGGTAAGGGTTAAGACAGTGCATTGTTTGCATTTTGAGCTAAAATATCAAATTTCTCACGACTTAATCCACGCCAATATGTACTTAGATTATTTAACATTTAATTAAGAAAATAAAATTAAAATACCAACGCTAGATTATGTCACGGCTTAGATTCAATCGGATTTAAAACAACAAAAAAAAACATATTTTCTCGGAAACAAAATATAGGACGTTAAATCCCATTTCAATTGATTTGTAAATTAATTTGTAATAGCAATTGATTTGTAATAGCAATTAATTTGTAATAGCAATTGATTTAACTTCCTTCTGAATAACGGAACACAAAGATTTTAAGCTTTACAAATTCAACTATCTATCGCCGTATCTAGAACGAGCTGCATGTTTTTCGTTATCGGCCGGAGATCCGCGGCGGCTCTGTGAGTTAGGTTCAGTGTTCGATCATGGGATTGGCTAAGAAATTTCATTGGATTTCCAGGCGTGATTGGGAGGAAAACCCTTAGATACCTTGTACATATGCTGGTAACATGCCCCTCATAGCACACTTTATGACTTATGTCCGTCTTCATTAGCCCAGTCGGTGCAGAACGGTAGGACGTTAAACCCTATTTCCTTTCATTTCATTATAAGCTAATATTGAAACACAAGCTATTAGTTTTTCGTAATTTGCCAAAATCGACAATTCGAAAGGAAAAGGCAGTTTAATCGAGTCCAGAAATAGAAAAGTCCGTGTATTACCATTTATAGAATGAATAAAAACAAGGGAATGTAAGGACTATTTCTATTTTTCTCGCGTTCTCTTATCTAGTGACCTCCAATTACTTTTTTGAAATGTCAGATCTCACACAACTTTTGGTCTTTGAAGGGAATATTTGTGAGTAAAAATTCGAAAATTCGCCCGTGTATTTGTTTTCACTCGTCACTTCAGTCAGTTATATATAGGGATAACGCGTGTTTTACTTTTGCGTTCGTCACTTTCGTTTGTTGAATCCTTCATTACTCATCTATTGTAGTGATCTGTGATAAAATGATATTTGGAACGTGTTGAACCAGTTCTATCACATATGTGATAATTACTGACACCAATATTGTCCTTTAATTCTCTGAGGAGGTTGTGGGGGGGGGGGGGGGCGTGCGCGTTAGATAATAAGATCAGTCATTTGTTGGTTTCGACTTGCCACTTGTTCATTCTAATCTGGTGGCTTCTCTCAGAGGCCTTCCCACGGCTCAAGACCAATACGCACAAACATAGTACTTAAATAGTCTTGAACCACATGTTAGTCACGAAATGACCTAGTCTGTGTCGAGTTGACGTTAAAGCCCCACTTTTCTCTTATATTAATTTTCGTCGATTAACCCGACGAGGGTTCAACGCTTTTTCGTGCAATAGTTGAAACAGGGTAACAAAATGGGCCGAGGGGGGCCTACACGTATTGCATCTGAGGGACCGATATAGCTAAACAAAACCTGTAATCTGTGAAATTGTTATCTCAAATTTTTCGTGCAATAGTTGAAACAGTGTAACAAAATGGGCCGAGGGGGACCTACACCTATTGCATCTGAGGGACCGATATAGCTAAACAAAACCTGTAATCTGTGAAATTGTTATCTCAAATTAATAAGATGCCTCATGTTTCTTCCATGATAATCGTCACTTCCCTGAACATTGATTTCAGAGGTCATTTTTCTTCTACCACCGGCGTGTTCAACATTTCACAGCAAAATTACAAGGCTGGTGTTCCCCCACCCTCTCAGATTCAAACTACAGCGATGGTGAAGTATTTTATTTGTAAATGATTTTTACCTACATCTATGAGTATTTAATTGGTTAACAAACAATATTATAACTCCTTTAACTGATAAATTATCAATTGGTCCATATTAAACAATATTTTAAAAGCTATGAAATGCGGTTGCTCCTTTAAACATATCCACCTCGCACCTACGACTACATGTTGGTATGTCGAAAATTTCGAAATAATTTTGACCCATTCTAATTCCCATAAAGGTTTATGTTCTTAGTTTAGAAAATTTAAAATGTTGACCTATAGCATGACGGTCTGGCGGTCATGATCCAACCCCACCTTCAAATCATTTTGGTATGCCGAAACTTTCGAAATATTTTTTACCCCGTTCAAATTCCAAGTTTAGAAAAATGGAAAATTTAGAAGTTTGACATGTAGCATAACAGACCTACAGACATAAAAAAAATGGGCGTGGGTTTTCTCTGGGTCCATCGGTCTCCTTCTTCTGCTAAATAAAATTAAACAATATGTTAGTTCCGAAATGACCTAGTTTGCGTCGGGTGGACTGCGATCTCAAATTTCTTACAAATGGAATGAAACAGGTTTTATCTCCCGACCTCTCTGCACTATCCGGTCTAATGACGACATATATGAAAAGTGCAATGAGAGAAATTGTGCTAAGAATTCCAACTGTAATGTATATTTTGCTTACATACCAACGTCCCAACTGAACGACTAGACCTATTTATTTTCAGACCGTCCGTCTTGACCCACTGACTGTTGTTTCTTTTAAAATGTGTTCGGGACTAAAACGCTGGATCGCTGGCCTGGAAATCGCGGCTTTGATCCAGGTGTTGATCGAGAAAGTTCATCGGGGTTTTCCAGCGTGGTTTCCCCTTGTCAGGATGCAGAACGGAAGGGCTGGCAAGGAGAGCTGTCTAGTCGTTCGGAGAAGCCGATGGCCCGTGTACACATTGGCGTGCTAGGGTATATGTATTAACCTCCCATCTGACCCTTTCCTCGTTGGATGGGCGACTAGCACGGAAACGATCGTTTCTCAAGCGAGTAGTATAGGGTGCTGACTGGTTTGTTAGAGTGTACGGGGCAGCCATCATCAACAATCGCCTGTTTTATTGCCGAATACGGAATAACGTGCTGGCTCGGGATTCGCGAATAACGAATAACGAGCCAGCACGGGATTCGGGATTCGCCACTAACACAGAATTATCTATCTTGCTGCATCCGACTATATCAGATATAATACCACCCATCCTACAGGCCTAACAGATATAGATAGTACCACCCATCCTACAGGACTATCAGATATAGTACCACCCATCCTACAGGACTATCATATATAATACCACCCATCCTACAGGACTATCAGATATAATACCACCCATCCTACAGGACTATCATATATAATACCACTCATCCTACACGACTATCATATATAGTACCACCCACCCTACAGGACTATCATATATAATACCATCCACCCTACATGACTATCATATATAATACCACCCATCCTACAGGACTATCATATATAGTACCACCCATCCTACGGGACTATCATATATAATACCATCCACCCTACATGACTATCATGTATAGTATCATCAAACCTACAGGACTATCATATATAATACCATCCACCCTACATGACTATCATGTATAGTTTCATCAAACCTACAGGACTATCATATATAATACCACCCATCCTACGGGACTATCATATATAATACCATCCACCCTACATGACTATCATGTATAGTATCATCAAACCTACAGGACTATCATATATAGTACCACCCATCCTACGGGACTATCATATATAATACCATCCACCCTACATGACTATCATGTATAGTATCATCAAACCTACAGGACCATCATATATAATACCATCCACCCTACAGGACTATCATATATTGTACCATCCATCCTACAGGACTATCATATATAATACCACCCATCCTACAGGACTATCATATATAATACCACCCAACCTACAGGACCGTCAGATATAGTACCATTCATCCTACAGGACTATCATATATA